AGCTGTGGGCTGTTTGCAGGCTGGTCAAGCCCCCCAGTGGGGACCCTCACCCCATGGGGGTGTGGCCAGCCTGGGTGAGGGGCTGAAGGCCATTTTCAGGCTGGCCATAGCCCTTCAGGGTGGAGGTCCCTACTGGAGTGCCTGGCCAGCCTGGGTGAGGGGCTAATGGCTGTTTTCAGGCTGGCTATGCCCTCCGGCAATCCAAGCTCCCAGCCTCTCCTTTTGGGCTGGAAGCAGGTATCTGGGATTCATTTATCTTCTATAATTGAAACTCTGTAGCCTTAAGCTGGCCAGGGAAGGCGGGAAGCTTGGCTTCCTCCATCGCTGGGGGCAACGCAAGCCTCCTGCTCACACCAGCTCCATGGCCGCCGCCATCTTAGTTGGGTTAATTTGCATACTCGCTCCTGATTGGCTGGTGGGCGTGGCTTGTGGGTGTAGCGGAGTGGTGGGGTGATGGTTAATTTGCATGTTTCTCTTTTTAGTGTAGATAGGAGTGCATAAAAATTGTTGGAAATGTAACTACAAACTAGTAGGTTAGTAAGAGTTCTGAAAACTGTCATATAAAACATTGTTGAAGGGTTTTGGTCTGGAAACATGAGCACTTAAGAGAATATCTAGATATGTAAAGAGATGTATGGTGCTTTAGAAGGAAGGCATGAATATTTATTTATAGATCAATATAAAAGTAATGGAGCATACTATATATAATATCTCCCAGTGACTGGAATTATGTATGTATATGTCAGCAAAGTAACATATTTTTACAGCTTGAATTGGATTACTTGTTCTTTTTCTTTTTTAAATTTAAAATTCCGCAAACAGGGTGAGGATTTCAAAAACAGCTTAACACTGTATATAAACCTAAATACTACAGTAATTCTGCCTCTTCGTTTCAGAGTGAAAATGGGATAAAGGAAAGAAAAAGGGCTATCTGAATAACTATTCAACAGACAAAACCTAACTTCAGACAGTATGGCTTGTATAGTTTGTAAACTGTACCAGCATTTGCTTTTTACCAAAACAAGCAATTTTAAGTTAAATTGCACATGGAATACATTGCCAACTAATTTTCTATTTATCAATTTAACATGAAGTGTTTTTAACTGAATATTTTTCATGTGTTATAAGTATAAAAGATTAGATGGAACTGTGAAAGAGTTATTTTTAAAGGAAATTTTTAGCCTTTTTCTTCTCACGAGGAGAAAGAATTCTAGGGAAGAAAGCTGACCTAAAAATACACTATTATCTCCCACTTGTCTACAAGTGGCATTTTAGTACTTTAATAGGATTTGATTTATGTTATGTGCTAAGTACAAATAATACAGTGGGGCCTTGACTTACGAGTTTAATTCGTTCCGTGACGGAGCTCGCAACTCAAATTACTCCTATGTCAAATCTTAAAGTGAACGAGTGAGACACGTGACGCTGGGCTGATGTTGTGGCGTTCACTGTGACGTTCGCTGCGCCAACTAGCGGTTGGGTATCTGAAGCTGGCTCGTAACCTGAATTTTAGCTTGCCACTCAAAGCAAAAAATCGGCTGAGAGACGGCTCATATCTCGAAAAACTCATTAGTCGGGACACTCGTAAGTCAAGGCCCCACTGTATTTAAATTGTAGTGCATTAATTAAAATAAGGGAGTTGGCTAGTTTTTAGCCAAGAATTGAGTGAAACTTCTCTAGCATAATAGCAGTTGAATTTCTTTAATCTTTTAAAATGCCCTGAGCACTTTACAATAGCTATCCAACTATAAAAATAATAGAACTGCAGTTATTTTGTCATATTATTTGCTAACAATTTGTATGCCCCCAAATCATTTTTTCAGTGTGCATTTCAAGATCATAGTCACATAGAAAATACCTGGGTTTCTTTACTTTTCCCCTCTTCTTTTTCATCTTTCCACTAACATGGACACTGGTATTGGTTTAACCTGTGGTTTTATTGAAACTCTTCATCCTAACAGAGCATATCCAGGGGTTGATTTATTTATTCAACAAACACCAGTTAAGTGACCATTGTAAGACATACCAAGTGCTGAAGATACAGCAGTATATAATGCAGCCAAAGGCCCCACTTTGATAGAGCTTACACTCTAGAAGGGAAAATACTACAAATAAAGACATGATTACAAGGGTAGTAGTAATGTGAGCACAGGAAAAGTAAAGGGTGCTGGAGAGTGGAAAAGATCTTAATGAAGTCCCATTTAACCTAAGGTCTGAAGGGATAGAATAATTTAGCCTAGTTTAAGTGGTGGTGGGTGGAAAGAGAAGAAGAATCTTTGAAAATTTAGAGGTGAAGTAGCACAGAGAGCATGAAAGGTGTCAAGTATGGGTGAGAAATCAAAGGGATAGTGTCAAGAAATAAGGCTGAAACAGTAGACAAAGAAAGGGCCTTTTGAGTTTGCCAAAGTTTATCTAGTGGGCTTTGAAATACACACACACACACGCACACACGCACACACGCACACACGTGCGCGCGACCGCGATTTTTAATAGCAAGGGGACAATAGAATCACATTTTTCATCTCTAAGATCCCCTGCATATGAAATGGAGAAGGAATTTGAGAAGGACCAGAGTGAAAAGGATTATTGTAATGTTTCAGCCAAGAAAGAATGGTGGCTGAGACTTAAGTAGTAGAAGGTGGAATAGAGGAAAGAAAACATATTTGAGAGATAGTTCAGAAGTATACTGTCAACAAGATTTAATGATGAATTAGGTTTGGGAGCTAGCTAGAAAGAAGACTAAGGCAGGCAAGAATGGTTCCTGCTTAAGCATCTGATATGTATAGTGATGTGATTTTCTGCATTAGGCAAAACAAGATAGTGAACAGAATGAAATTTTTGTTTGTCTTGTGATAGGCCTGTTAGTTTTCAATTTCTGTGTATCACAAACTTAGCCATACAAAACAACACTCATTTATTGGCTCACAGTTCCATGGGTCAGATATCCAGTAAGTTTGACTGGGTTTTCCACTTAGGGTCTTACGAGGCAAAAATCAAGGTATAGGCGGGGCTAGGCTCTTATCTGGAGGCTCTGGGGGAGAAACTGTTTCCAAGGTCACTTAGGTTATTGATAGAATTCTGTTCCTTGTGATTGTAGGACTGAATTTTTACTGGCCGTTGGCCAGGGCTTACCCTCAGCTCCTAGAGACCACTCTCAGATTTTTTCCAAGTGTTCCCCTCTATTGTCAAACAAGCAGTGGCATACAGAATTGCCCTCATTCTTTAACTTTCTGACTTGTATTCTGCTACCAGCTGTATTTTATAAGTCATTGCTTTATACTCAAAAGAGTTTAATATGACAAAATGAATGACTACATTATTCTTAAGAATTCTTTCCTTCGATACTCTTTTGGTAAACTTAGAGTTAGAAACTCAGTAGAACAGCTGCTCTCACCAGTAACAATAGCTAATACATAGCACTAAATATGGGCCAGTCACTGTTCTTAGTGCTTTACCTAAGCACTGTTTTTACTCCTGTCTCAAATAGGGTACAGGTGAAGGAGCAAGGTGGTAGAGATTTATAAGATACACTAATTTATCCAAAGTACATACCAAGTCTGTGACATAATAGTTTTAGATTACTGCAATGTGTTTTTAAAGAAGTTTATGTAATCTTTCTATTTTTTTAAAATCTATTTTTATTGATTTCAGAGAGGAAGGGAGAGGGAGAGAGAGAAACATCAATTATGAGAGAGAATCATCAATCTGCTACCTCCTGCACAGCCCCTACTGGGGTTCGAGCCCATAACCCAGGCATGTGCCCTGACCAGAAATCGATCCCATGGCCTTTTGGTTCATGGGTTGATGCTCAACCACTGAGCTGCACTGGCCAGGCTATGTAATCTTTTTCTGATCATTGTTACTGTGGATTAGTTGTTTTTTAAAAATATATTTTTATTGATTTCAGAGAGGAAGGGAGAGAGAAAGAGAGATAGAAATATCAACAACGAGAGAGAATCATCAACTGGCTGCCTTCTGCACACCCCCTACTAGGGATCGAGTCTGCAACCTGGGCATATACCCCGACTGGATCGAACCCTGGCCTTCTGGTTTATAGGTCATTGCTCAACTACCTGAGCCACACATACCAGGCTGCGAATTAGTTTTTAACATAGGCTAAGTTTCTTACTTTCCAAAAAGAGAAATAAATGCCCTACATAAGTAAAGCAATGTGATTAAAAGGATGTAATATAAAAGTTATGTCTTTTAAATGTGATATAATGAAACCCTGCAACAAAATGTGCTCTACTGATTATATTAATTTAATCATTGACTTCTTTGACTTCTTACCTTCATAGTAAACCATTTGTCAGTTCATCAACCTCTCATTGCAACTGTGTTTTACTTATTGAATGTTTTGGACTTCATTTAATGTATTTTGTTGGGTTTTAACTTTATTACTTCATATGAATTTAAAGTAATCCATGTAGTCTGTGCATTATAAAACTCCAGAGGGCACTGCTCACATAGACTTGCAACCCTGTAGCCATCTATTGAGAAGCTTCGATAAATCTAAATATAATTGGGTGGGGGTGGGGGGGTGCGACACATTGAAGTTTAACATGGGGAATGACTTATATTAGCACAATTTTTCTTTTATTTGCTACTTGTTTTCTGAAAACAAACCCAGAGGCTAAAATTTGTTTTATTGTTTTGCAGGCGAGGAATTGCCTTAGCCTCCTTAGGAGGCCCAATTTATGCAATTGGAGGGCTAGATGACAACACTTGCTTCAACTACGTTGAGAGATATGACATAGAATGTGACCAGTGGAGTACAGTAGCACCAATGATTACTCCCCGTGGAGGAGTTGGCTCTGTGGCTCTAGTAGTAAGTTATATGGCAACTTGCTCATTGGACTGCATTGCATCATATCCCTAACCAAATAAGGAATGATCTGGGATATTCATATCTTCAGTATGCACATGTTGATTATACACCATATTATTTGATGAAATGCTTTCTTTCAAGATTCTGATTTACTATTAGGATAATGTATAAATCAGCTAAAAAACTAATGTGATATGTTTTTTATTTTCTCTTTACATAGAATCATGTTTATGCAGTAGGTGGCAATGACGGAGTAGCTTCTCTGTCGAGTGTGGAGAGGTATGATCCACATCTGGATAAGTGGATAGAACTTAAAGAGATGGGTCAACGAAGAGCAGGCAATGGAGTCAGTGATCTCCATGGTTGTTTATATGTTGTTGGTGAGTGGATAGTATTTCTCTGGTCTAATTTATTACAGGATATACAAAAATCTTGTGTGTGTGTGTGTGTTTGTATATATGTATATATATCTACACTAATAAAAGAGAAACATGGTAATTGGCTTACGACCGCTACCCTTTTCATTGGCTAATCAGGGTGATATGCAAATTAACTGCCAACTAAGATGGCA